TACTAAGATGACATTTTTTTTTTTCAAAAAGGGCTGCTGCTTTTCATAGCTGCTTTTCCCCCATGAGCACCAGACTCTGCAGCCATTATGAGACAGTCCTGTGTCCTTAGCCCACTGCAATCATACTTTATCCCACACCCTCCATCTTTGGGGTTCAGTGCCCTCTGTATCCCACAGTCTCCATCTTTGGGGGTTAGTACCTTCTTTCTTTTAGTTAGAAGCAACAAGCAAGATTCTTTTTTTTTTCTTTTTGAGACAGAGTCTCACTATGTAGTCTTGACTGGCCTGGGACTCACTATGTAGGCCATGGTGACCTTGAATTCATACAGATTTGCTTGCCTTTGCCTCCCAAGTGCTGAGATTGAAGCCATGTGCCATCACACCACAAAGTGTTTTTATTGGTGCAATACTGAACAATGTCAGAAAAATGTTGGGTAACTTCTTTTACAGTACTTGTAGTCCTAAGTGCCTTCTACCCCCACTTTCCTCCTTGCCATCTCCACTTGGAGCAGAATAATTTTCTCATGCAAACCTCACCTTGCCACTACTGTAAAGCCCTTTAGGGTGTCCAGTTTCTGCCAAGATAAAATCCAAAATTTTAAAAAAGGCTTTAAACAGTCACCCCAAAGCTCCAATTTCATCTGGAACCTTTCTCCCTGTGCTCTGCCTCTCCCCTAGACTCTTGAGCTGCCTGGTGGTCCACCTTTTAATTCTTCAGGGCCTTCACTCACAGTAACTCGTCCTTCAGATCTTAGTACAAACCTCACTTCTCGGAGAGTTTCAGCATTTCCCCTTCCTGGATGAGCGTTGCCAGGCTTCACCTAAGTAGCATCTTCTGCTTTTGCATTAAAGCACCCACTATGCCCATCTTTACCTCGAAGAATGTGGGTCAAATGATGGCAAGAGTGAAGTATGCTCCTTGCTTTACAGGTGCTTAGCCCAGTCCCCTGCTCCACACACACTGATGCTCTGGACTTTGATGGGGACACTGAAGGAAAGAACAGGAACATGGTTAGCATGTTTTATTCTTTTGAATCTTTATAATTATACCATTCTAAGTCTGAGAAAGTATCAGATATGTTTCTATTTATTGTATATTTAAATGAATACGAGCCAAAATATCGAGGAAGGGAGAGTAGTGGAATTCCATGGGTCCATCCTTGCTATTTCGTTTTCAGGTATTTTAATTAACATTTTCTGCATCAATTAAAATCACTCCCCTGAATCAAAGGACATATTTTGATTTCACAGATACTTCTGTGCTACAAACTTGCTTACATCCAATATGAAGACTGTTCAAACTTCTGTGAACAATCCAGATGCAAACATCAGATATGGCGATACAGTGTAGTTTTGTCTTTCTAGAACTCCCCTTTTTCAGATTGTCTTAGGGATTTTTCATATTTAAACTTTTTCTTCTTAACCGTGTAGCTATGTCCTTCTAGAACTCCCCGTTTTCAGATTGTCTTAGGGATTTTTCATATTTAAACTTTTTCTTCTTAACAGCCCCAAAATATAAAATTATAAAAGAATAAATGTTAGTACTCAGGCATCTGTACTGGCCTGCCCTTGGGGTTCTGACAGGATTCACCCTCAGCTGCCGCCACTAAGAGCACCAGCTGTGCAATTCACTATGTTCCTCTTAAAAGGGCCCCCACCTCCTCTCTCTCTCAGCCTCTCCCTCTCCCCCTCTCTCCCTCTTTCCTCTCTCCTGCTGCTCCTGTCTCTGGAGGCTGGGTTCCCCTTCCCCTATCCCTTTCCCTAATTAAAAAAAAAAAAAAACCCTCTACTTGAACCCTATCACATGGTGTCTTTCTCACACCACTTTTTAAAAATTACAACAATAAAAAACCAGCAAATAAAAAAAGCAGTTTAATTTCCAACATTCAGACTATTGCGTTATTAATGTCTTCCTTATGACCCTTTTTTTCTAGTCTTTTTTTAAAAACTTTCTTAATGAGTTGTTAAGCACTACTCAAATCTCTATACTTATTTCAGTTGGTATTTTCACACACTGTTACGCATGTCGGCAGGGTATTATGCCCTCTGTTGACACTTCAGTGTGATGTCTTAGTAAGCCACACTGATGTGCTGAGGAAATTAAATAACCTGGGAGGGTTCAGGGTGTCATCCCAACTCTGTGAGCCTTGACAGGTGCTGAGCACATCAGGCCAGTGAATCCTTGGGAATGTGGAAGCATCACCCACTGTTATCAGCCATTAAAGGGGGGGTTTACTCTTTTCCAAATGCATGACCTCGGCCCTTCCTTTCTCTTTACCCTGTTGTGTGGCACTCTGGCCACTGCTGTGTACTTGCATGACTGTTCTGTGCAGTCTTTACTCCTGCTGCCCAGGGCACCATTTTCCTCACTCCAGCTTTGTGCTATATGAGTAAAAGGTTCTGCCTATTTCCCTTTCAGTTTAAATTGTTATTTCCAGAGAAAACCCTCCCAATCTTCCTTAATAGCCTAACACCATGTGTCAGAGCACCTGGACACATCAAAAGCAGACGAGTGCCAGTGTACAGTCCTTTGTCATAATGCCCATAGACTCTACACTTCAAGAATTCAGTTTCTCTATGCCTGAGGTCATTTCTGTTACTAGAGAATAGAACAAAAGCACAATTATGTCTTAATGTTTTTATAGCTTATACCATGAGAAGTGAAGCAGATCTACCCACAACTTTGTACTCCTAATAAATAAGAAAGGTTTCCTCTCGGAGTCTGAAAATGACAAAAGGAAAGTTGTCGTTGGATGTAATTGCTGTTAATAATTCAGTACTCCCAGGGACCAGTGAGAAGGCTATCCACAGTGCTCATCTGTCTGCTGTTTTAGCTTCAACTTTGTAATCCCTGTCTGTGTGTGTGTGGTGTGTGGTTGGTGTGTGTGTGTGTGTGTGTGTGTGTGTGTGTGTGTGTGTGTGTGTATGTGTGTGTGGTGTGTATATGTGTGGTGTGTGTGTGTGGAACAGTCCAGATGTAGTAGGCTAAAAACAGTTACAAATAGCACAAGACTCCTTGCTAACAGTAATAACATAATTAGAGAAAAAGAACCTTGCGAATGTCATCAGTTTTGCAGTAGTCTATATCTTTTATTCCCTGTCTTATAAAAATAAAGTATTAATTAAAGTTCTGGCAAAGAGAAGGGAGTATTCCCTGGCCTCTGGTCAAGAATTCCCCTAACCACCAACAACTTTCCCACATTTTCCCCTACTATCTGACCCAGCTATTCTTCTTGGCATCTTCAGGCATTTTTTCCTTCCTGCTCCTTTTCAAAACTTAAAATGCCCATTTATCTCTGTGTTTGATGTTGGTGTCTGCCATTAGAATTAAGCTGCCCCCTTGTTGGTCTTGTTCACGCTCTTTGCACCGTCTCCTCGGTGCTCACCACGGGGTTGGGCACCTGGTTGGACATCAAATGCACATGGAATGAAGGCATAAGTGAGGACTTGAATGAACCCCTTCTGAAGTACATTCTTCAGCTCTGCCCCACTTGTGACAGTTGATTAAGGGTGTAGACAAGAACATGGTTTGTGACAGGATCTTTGCATTTGCTCAGTGATCACCGAGTGCCTGTCACCAGGTCAAGCCCTGGAAATGCCATGAGAGTCAAATGTGATGGATGCCATCAAAGACATCAGGGACTAGCAGAGAGACAGATGTGTGTGTGTGTGTGTGTGTGTGTGTGTGTGTGTGTGTGTAAATAGCTACAATTCCTTACAAAAGCATATGAAAGAAGTGGGCAAATGGGGCTGTTGACAATCAGTGGGGAATTTAATGAAAGTTTTCAGAGTGTGCTCTGATGTTTATGCTGGACCTGAAAGGAAGAGGGGATGTTGTCAGGTTAATTAGTAGAAAAAAAAAGCACCAGTGTCAGGGATGTGGAAATGAACAGCACTCATGGACACTGTTGTGTGTTTTGTTGGGTGGATTGCTAATGCTGCATCAGGAAACCTCCTATATTTGATCTTACAGGATTGGGGAACCTGCTTAGATAGGGAGCACTGTGGTAATAGGTGAGTATGAGTGTCCAACAGTGTGCAGAGTTGTGTTGAGGGAGGTGGGTGCCGTGATTAGAAACAGACTGTTCACTACCATAGTGGCATTTTCAGTTAAAGTTCATAATGCATTTTACACAGAGATGAATTTTACAATTCTTTTTGCTAGAAATTAGAAGTTGTTTCATCGTTCTCTCTCTCTCTCTCTCTCTCTCTCTCTCTCTCTCTCTCTCTCTCTCTCAAATTGAATTGAATTAATGTTCATGTGTGTGCATGTATGTGAGCACATGTGTACATGTGTTGAGACCAGAGGCCAACATTGTTACTCTCCACCTTGTTTTCATTCATTCATTCATTTTTGAAGCTCCAGGACAGTTTGATTAGTTGCAAGCTGTACATTTCCACAGCTGCTAGGAGGAAGGGGTGGTGAGGAGAAGGTGAAGTCGCGCCTTTTAAGTCAGGAATGGAGGTTAGATCTGAAGCAGATAGAAAGAAAGCAAAGTTTTATCTTCAAACTAAACTCAAAAACGAAGGGGCCTGATCAGTGAAGATCTGCCTTCTGCTTCGTTGTTTAGAGAAGGTCTCTCACCAAACAGAAGCATCTGTTTCGCTGGGTGGATTGGCCAAATAGTTTTAGGACACCTCCTGTCTCTGACCCCACAGCACTGGAGTGGTAGATGGGCTGTTACCCCAGCTTTTTATGTGGGGGCTGGATATCCAAACCCAGGGCTCACTCATCTACAGCAGGTATTTTAACAACTGAACAATCCCCCTGGCCCATTAACTTGTTCTTCTTTAGAATTTTAGGAAGTTTGAAAGTTGTGTTTTTAACTTGTATCCACATCAGTGTGGGAGTACAGATCTCTGCACAGCGAATCCTATCACTCTTTATGTCAGATGAGCTGAAATGCACAGGCTTTCCCCTGGTCCCTGTTACAGACAGGGATGTCTTTTCACCGTCTCATTTAAAGAAGGGAAACAAACCATCAGCTTCTGTCTTGCAGTTCCACGACAGCCTTCAAATGACCTGTTTGAAATATTTGAAATTGAAAGAGGAATCAGCGCGGATGATGAAGCAAAGGACGACCCAGGTAGATGCTGTTACATGCCAGTCTTGCCCTCCAGCTCAAGAGAAGAACTTTAATTTTCTTTTCATTTGGGATACACAATATTGAGTTTCTTTAATATGGGAAAATAAAAGTGTAGCTCACCAGTCACATTCAATGAAGTTAGGTGATTTCTTCTCTTTTGTTGTTTTTATGCAACTCAGTTGGTTCAGTCATTTGAACAAAAATAATTATGAGTCGTCATATTGACATCACATTAAAGTAGTGCTTGAATTGTGAGATGGAAGTCATATTTTAACAGTTACAATCCAACAAAGATATGAGTTGGGAGCACCCTTGGTTCCGTTTCCACAACTGAGCGTCTCTTCAGTTGTGCTGGCAAAAAATACATGGCATTTCCCTTTGAGGGCAGGCAAGGTGTTCTGATGGGATATTAAGTTTGTTTGGGGACAAAACCCTGGCTATGTAGACACCTCTGGTTTACAAATCACTGTTTGTTGAGTTTGTGATCATATCTTTCTGGCCACCTCCTTGCAGGTATTCTCATACACAGTTGTAATTTTGACCATGGACTTTGTGGATGGATCAGAGAAAAAGACAGCGACTTGCACTGGGAGCCGGTCAGGGACCCAGCAGGTAAAGGCACATCAACTAACGCCTTCTGGCACTGTTTGATCCTTTTGACCATAACAACAACACAAACACGATCCATCCCTGTTGTGTAGATTAATATTCTTTAGGAGAGGGTGTTTGGTAGCAGTCTATTAGACTCGAGTCTTGGGACACAAGTAGTTATTCATGAAGCCAGATGATTTGCCTCCAAAAGCTAGGCAAATAAGCATTTAAACTCATCCTAGAATAAAATTTCAAGGTACTTACAGCATCCAGTTCCTCTGAGTAAAAGCAGTGACATAGTGTTCTCTCCCCTGTAGTGACAGTCTTGGGTATTTTTGTCAGTTTGATTTGTTAATGAAGATTTGAGCAGTAAATAATGGAGATAATTGAAATTTATACAACACAGTACCTCTATGGGAAAAAATAGCTATAAGTCACATCCTAGAGGGAAGAGTACTCGTCACCACCATTGCATCCGAGAGGGAAGCTATTAAAATGCTCATCTTGGAAAATTAGCAGGATTGCAAATTGTACAATACTTACTAATGTAAGCGTTCAGTGCTTATTAAGTATTTTGTCTTGTTGCAAGAAGTAAAGCCACACATTGGACTCTTCCTTCCCTCAGTAATTAAATGGTTTTTTGTTTATTTTGTTTTTGTTTTTTTGAGTGAAGCCAACTTAATGGAAGAGTGAGTTCCATTGCTTCTTATGTTCCTTTTGGTTCTGATTCTAACCTCTAAGAAAAACACACATGATATGCAGGGAAAGTGTGCTGTTTTATGGACTTCTGAAGGCTAGTTTTCAAATGCCATCCTGTCTTTAGAATGTAATACAGAAAAACTAGCTTGTGAACACGTACACTCTAAAATAGGAGCTGTGCTGCAAAGGTCAGTGGGACTTTGAGGCAAGCAGATGGTAGTTGGTTCCCTCAGGACACCAATAGTGCTTATAGTATATTTCTGCAATGGACAGTCTCAGAAACAAGGCTTCAAGTAATCATTCCCAACTACTTTCATTGGAGCTTCTAATTTAATTAAATATAGTTGAAAGGATATTGAATTGAAATAGAAAGGTATTTTAGAATCAATATTTAAGGCAAAAATTTTAAAAAATGAATATTCAATAAATTGATACAGTTTTTAAGATTTGTTTTTGTAGCCAGGCGGTGGTGGCACACGCCTTTAATCCCAGCACTTAGGAGGCAGAGGCAGGTGGATCTCTGAGTTCAAGGCCAGCCTGGTCTACAGAGTGAGTTCTAGGACAGCCAAGACCATACAGAGAAACCTTGTCTTGAAAAAAACAAAAGAAGATTTGTTTTTGTTATAAAAGCCATGAAATCCTTCATCTAGTGCTCCTCTCACTCTGTCATGAATTACTCATACCCATGTAGGGTCACCTATGAGCAAAATGTTATCATCACAAGTGTCTGTAAGTAACAGACTCAACAGATGCTAACATCTGCTCTATCCCTAGCACAATCCTCACCTCATTAATTTTATCCAATCCTTGTGTCCATCCAGTGAATCAGATGATGCTCTCTTTATTTCACAAGAGGATCGTTGATGCCCAGAGAGGCAATGTAAGGCCCCTCCGGCTGCAGAGCTAAAGTGATGAAATTTACTGTGGTGTAGAATCAGTTAGGTGCCTGTAGCAGTAACGTGTGGTTCTGAACCTGATGTAGTTAGTGTATCAGGCCTCTAAGTGGGACTGGGTTGTACTCTTGGCCCTCAGTAATTTGCAATAGAAAGAAGGATCTTCTACAGGCATTTGTGATGAGCCTGTCAGTGGTGGTCATGGCCATGATGAATAATAATAAAGAGCAATTCATTCTATGTGTAAAAAAAAAAAAAAACAAACTCATTGTCTCTGTAGGATACTGTTTGCAGTAGCCCCTGTAAACTAGCCTGAAGACACATGAAACTTGGAATGTTAGGTGTGTGTTTTAAGTGGTCATTGGACTGCGTTAGAGCAGAACAAATGGAAAAGATGTGACAGAGCCTAGGTGATAGGCTAACACCTCACCGTTAGATCTGGTTCCTGTAGGATGCTTTTCTAGTTTTCACCAAAAACTTGGATAAATGGATATCAAATTGAGATATGGAAGAAAGCTTGACCTAACTGCAACTGTAAGCTGGACAGAAAAGTGATTGTGTGCCGGCAGAACCATCATCCAAGAGGTTAGGTTAATGGGCTACCCTACAGGGATAAACTGATGCTGAGCATGTCTCGGGGTCTAGAAAGCAACTGCAGCTGTGGAAAGATGTAAGCAAGCACAACAGTGACGGGCAATGACATCATCTTGAGTGAATCCTGCGACCGTTGTTTCCAAAAGGGGGACTATTTCTGTAGATCTGGTCCTTTTCCAGAAGGAAAACCATGCTACGGTGAAGTGGCTGTTCCACTTCTGAGAGCATTTCTCATGTGAGACTTAGGTGCCCATCACTCAGAAGAGAGTGACCTGGGCGGAGAGGTTTGTCTTCCTTTACCTGTGAGGATGGGTGAAGGCCAGAATGCTCAACTGGGGAAAAGCAATAGAGTTGTACTGCTTTGAACCAATTGACCCACAGTTAGAATTGTTCTTTGTGATTCAAAGGGATGGGAAGTAGTATCCATGGCAGAAAACAACACAGACGGGTTTTGGTTAACCCTGAAAAAGAACTTTCACTATCGCCACTGGAAAGAGCAGGCTGGTGTGGGGAGACGAGCCTCTGTTGGAGGGGTGTCCTCTGGCAAGATGCTGTTAAAGGGCTAAAGCTTCCCATGAGAGGACCTCTTAGTCCAGCTGTGAGGGTCTGTGTTCATGTGGAAAATGTCTCTCAGGAGAATTTGCCAAAGGAATTGGAGATCAAGTTTTCTGCTTGGAGAAAAGGATGGGAAGACCAAAAGATGGCAGAGAGTTGGAGGATGATGGGAGTGTAGACGCCATTCAGAACTGTTCCTCAGAGCATGATGGGGAATTCTGACCATATACCCCTGACCTCTACATGTGAGCTATAGCATGTGGGCAGCCTCACTCCTCCCAACAAATGGTCACTCAATCAATAAATGAAAATTTAAAACTAAAAAACAAAATTAAACCCAGTATGGAAGAAGACTAGTAGCAACTTTATTCATCATTATCCCAATTTTAGGGTTTTGAGTATGTGTATAAAAGAATTGTTTGAATCTTGGGTGCATTGGTTTGTTAGGTGCTCTGTTTGCATGCAGTATCTCGAAAAATATATTGGCATACATTCCACAGAGATTTAAGATAATCCCTGTTTTCTTAAAACTTGCAAGTTCACTGTAATAATCTTACCTTAGCCTTAACCACAGCACCTGTGATGACTCAGAAGCCAACTTAGAGACAGACATTTAACATGCACATAAAATTTTCGGCCAAGTATTTTGGGGGTGTTGATATGTGAGGGAGTAGAGTCACAACGAGGGAGGAAACCAACACATTGTGTGTTTTTATTGACTTGGATGCATGAGTCAACAACCAATTTTCTGGCAGGTTTTTGCTATAATTTTGGAACATCAATCATTTATTCAACAAATAGCCGGTGTCCACTCTATCCTAGGATATTAATGGGAAGGTTTGAGATTCAGGGGTGGAACTGGCTTCAGTTATTTACAGCCTACAGGGAGCATTTAGCACAGAACATGGGTATGCCACAGTTACTTTTGAGTAACTGTTACCTAGGAGAATACCAACTGAATGTGGTAGAGAAAAACCCACTGGAATAAGATGACATCCCAAGTCTCTTGCTGCGTCTTGTAGAAACAAAGCATAAGGTGATGACAATGGTCAGTCTGTCTTTGAACTGAAAAGGAAATGAAGTTTCTCCCACAGCAGATACATGCGTTCAGCATTCCAACCACATTCTTCCTGTGGACAAATCAGTGTCGAAACTCCCAGTGTGTTTTCAGTTGGCTGTGACAAAGCGGCCTGAAGGGATTACATCTGTACATGCCCTGACTTTCCACTCCCAACTTTCTCTTGCGAAGCACAGCCCCTCTTTCCTGGTGCTTAATCTTCTCCCCCCCCCCCCGCCTCAATTGTGCTTCTCTAACAAAAGAGAGATAGGAAATGGATAGATTCAGGGGTCTGAGGACAGCCAGGGTGACATGTCAAAAGTGGAGGTTTTTATTGTTTTTGTGTTCACTTAGATATAACAAGACAGATACACAGAGACACACAGTTATAGATGTGCTTTTTAATGTCTGTCTTTTAAGTCACTAAACTCCAAATGAAACTGATACCTCGGGAAGGTGTGGAGAGTGTCCAGGCTGCCTGTATGTCTTCCTGGAGTTAGCTGTGCCCCTTGTGTGAGAAAGATAGCAAACTGTTTAAAACATCCTTCTGCAGTTAAGGACTATGTTTTTAAGTGGGGAGGAGAGAATAAGCAGAAATAATGCTCTTTCGGGTACTCTGTGTTCTATTGTCCAGAGGTTAATTGATTACAAACAAATTTTACCCAGGAAATTATGGGTCATTTCTACTAGACTAGTGTGGGATGCGTTGGTGAAGATCAGAAGGTAGTACTTGTGTGTGCCTAGGGATGTCTGATGGTATCCAAGGAAACCGTCAGTGTTTGGAGTCAGTGTTTGGAGTCAGATACTAATCATGTGTTGTCTTTGTTCTCTAAGGCAAAGTGCGTAGGTGTTATTTGCAAACAATAGGCACAGAAATAAGCTCTATTTTTCTTCTTCAAAAAAGATCTGGCTGTCTTTATTAATGAATGTTAAAGTCTGAAGTTTACTACGAACCTCCAGTCCATGCAATTTGTGCTGGAAAGAGGCCCTGCTTTTCCCGTTCCAGGTGGACAGTATCTCACAGTGTCTGCAGCCAAAGCCCCAGGGGGAAGAGCTGCCCGCCTGGTGCTGCCTCTCGGCCACCTCATGCATTCGGGGGACCTGTGCCTGTCCTTCAGGCACAAGGTGGCGGGGCTGCACTCCGGCACACTGCAGGTGTTTGTGAGAAAACATGGTGCCCACGGAGCAGCCCTATGGGGAAGAAATGGTGGCCATGGCTGGAGGCAAACCCAGATCACCTTGCGAGGGGCTGACGTCAAGAGCGTAAGTAGTTCCTCAAATGGAGGCTCTGCCTTCAGAGGCAGATCCGGAATAGGTCTAGAAGAAGCCTTGCTCTGTGGATTCAGATCCAATGGTTTTTGGCTTTTCCTGGGCACAAGAGCCTCATCCATTGCCTCTTTCTGAAATTCTTAACTGCTTCTTCATCCTTCTTTGTTGCAACCTTGACCGCCACACCCTCACTCCTTTGGGATGACAAACTGTTTTCAAGGAGAGAAAATTAGCAAAATTAAAAAAAAAAAAAGCTAAACATAAGTTGATAGAAACATCCAGGGTCTCGGGTGTTGTAATAGTGTCTGGTTTTTCTTTACCTTCAATTCCTTAAGCTTCCAACTTGTACTCTGATAGCCTCTGTGGAGGTAGTTCTTCTTTCTATTTTAAGTGATCCTTTGAAATTCATTTTCCCCTATGGCCCAGAAATCATAGTTAAGCAATTCCAGATGGGTTCCCAGATCCAGGGTTGAAAAGCATTGTTCAGGTGATGTAAAACTGTATTTCAGTTTTAAAATTTATATTAAATAACCAAGTCTTGGCTAGTGAGAAAATGATCTGTCGCATCCCACCAAAATAATGGGTGAGTTTTGGAAAACATCATCTTTATGTAGATTCTTACACAACTTTGTTGTGAAGAACCTCCATTCTTACAGACTCTCCTGAAATCATGTTAGAACCACAGTCCCCATTACAGCTTTCATGGGGGCCCTGGGATCTTGTGTACGTTTTACCTTTGTTTTCTTACTATTTATATTGGAGAAGTAAGACAGGGAAGTGCATTGCTTCAAGTCACAGTACTGAAAGTTTTGTCCAGTTTTAAGCAGGGATGCCCTTTGGAGGATAAAATGTGAGAGCAGACATTGGGCATCAGTGTGCTTAGACTATGGTATATGCTTCTGTCCCACTGTGGACAGTGAGGGATGTTATCAGGAGAAAACCAAGGCAGGCTGCAAGACTTGGATCTTACAGCTCTTTAGCCCCTGCTTTCTTAGATCTATGGTCCACCACACTCTTCTTTCTTCTAAACCTTGGTAATCTTTGACCAGTGTCCACTGCAAGCATTCCTGCAGTCAACTAGTGTGTAGTGAGAATGACAATTTGAAGAATAACTGATCAAAGTGCATATGGAAAGGCTCGGGGCCTGGGTTGATGCTGGCACCTGAGTCCTGGTGTTTCCTTTTGCTATAGAAGTCTAATGTTTGGTTTGGGGGAAGGGTTGCCTTATTCTGCTCCATGAGTGAGCACTGGGAAGGGGCAGACAAGGCCTGACCAGTGTGTGCATTCTCTCCCTAGGTCATCTTCAAAGGTGAAAAAAGGCGTGGCCACACAGGGGAGATTGGATTGGATGATGTGAGCTTGAAAAAAGGTCACTGCTGAGAAGAACTCTAGCAGCTCCAGAGCTCGCAGTGAACTGTGTCGTTCTTCCTCTTTTTCCAATCCTTACCTTCTCATCTCCCCCTTATCAGGCCTAGGGCAAGAGTGGTTCAGGAGGAAGGCTAGTTGGTGACGCAGGTCTTGGTGGCCTGCTTTTGTGCAATCCCAATGAACAGTGATACCCTCCTTGAAGTTTGGGAGCATCTGGAGACACATCTAGGCCCTTCTGGGATGGTACCTTCCACCCTGTGTCTCCTTTATGAAGGTCTTTGGCACATGTGACCCATGCCATCCTTCATCCTGGTTACAGAGTGGGCCTGATAGCCAGTTGTGGGAGAAGTTTCCATTCTGTGATCTGTCCAGTGTTGTGCCATGAGTAGTGCTGACTTTGCTTACAGTATGATGTACAGCGTGCTTGTGAAACTAGTTGATTCTTTTCACTTGTTCTGGCCTGACCTCACTCTGACTTTTACTGCCTCACACTTTATAATAGAAGGGCGCATAACATATTAATATGCATTTATTCTTGTAAACTGTTTTTCTTTTAAAGAGAGTTATGTAGGGTGGGCATGGAATTCCTTGTTAGTAGTACTGTGATTGTGTAAATGTGCTATTAATATAAGTATATATGTGTTCCTGATATTCACAGACTCTAGTTGCAAGGTCAAAGGCAGCTTATGACAGCTTGAGCTAAAAAAATGCATGGTGAAATGTCATCCATGCCATGACCTTATACTGACAGAGGTGTCTGGGTGGGGTAGTGGAATGACTTTATTTCCATGCCCTTGAGTTTGATCTTTACAAAAGAAAGTAAACCATTAAGGGAAGCAAGGACCTGCAGTTAATGTATAAAACCTTTATGCTTTGAGTTATACTTTAAACCAACATCTTTCACCATTGTAACATGGCTCCACTGGTGAGAAACTTGGTAGAGACGTGTGGGGAGTGGAAGTGTAGAGGCCCATGGGCCATTCACAATGAGCTTCAAGTTGACAGCGTGCCCACTAGTGTAGCTCATGGCTTCCGAGTTAGCCCAGGCTGGGATGGGAAGCAGGCCTGTGCACCAAGGCACTGCATGCAATGGAATGAGACACACGCAACACAGGAGGGCAGGATTGGAATTCTAATATCCACAAAGCTCCAACTGAAGCTCTTCCCTGTCGTACCTTTGCTCAATTAAAAACTCATAACTTTAAAACGTCAACTTTCTCCTTATATTGCTTTCGTTTCTGATTAAGTAATCAAAATATTTTCTGCTGTCTTTGCCAGGAAACACAGAGATGATTAAAGGGTTGGAAAGAAAGATCTATGAGGAAAAAGTAAAGGAACTGGGATTGTTCAGCCTGGAGAAAAGAAGACTGAGGGGCAAACCATTGATGGGTTTCCAGTATGTGAAGGGTTGGCACCAAGAGCTTGGAGACCAGCTGTTCTCCATGTGCACTGAGAATAGAACAAGAGGGAACAGGCTTAGGCTAGAGTGTAAGGGGGCACTTCCTGGCAGGGGCAGTTGTTAAGCCAAATACTTTACAAAAAGGAAGTGTGAACTCTCCCTCCCTCCCTACCTCCCTCACTCCTCTCCCTCCCTCCTCTCCCGACTCCCTCTCTCTCCCCTTCTCCTGTTCATCTCCTTTCTTCCTCTCCATCTCCCTTTCCTTTCCCCACATTTAAAAAACTACATTCAAATTTTACCTATTTAAGGTGCTTACTTCAAGGTAAAGTACCAGATTATGGACTCTAGAAGACACAGTGGTCCTCACAGTATATATCAATAAGTCTTCAGAAATAAGTGATTTGGACTAAGCTCTGAGCCAGGCAGTCTTCTCTTGATCTGTTGGAAAGAGCACTCAACAGCCAACAGCAGCACTGAAACAACAAATCCCCCAAACTATTTTTGAAGAGGTTACAACAGATGTAGCAGAAGCTTACTAATGTACTTAGGTGGCAGTGTTAATGTTTGATTTCTGGGTAAGGATGTGACCCTGTTGGTTGTTCAGTAGTTGCTCATTGTTTTTCAGAGAGACCCCATCAAGAAACATGAGTCAGAGAGACTTCGTTTGGTGCATTGTCTCTGCTTTGCATGTGACAAGTTAATGTGACTACTGAACATATGTCAGTCACAGCACTGTCAGCCCTTGCCCTTACCTCCTCCCATGGTCCACTTTCCGTAGGAGCCTTCCAATTCCACAAGCTGGTAATTTTTTTTTTTAAAACAGGTCCAAGTGACTTTGTCATCTAATTGATAGAGACAGAGTTGGGACTTCTGATCTGACCTGAGTCTTTAGCTAAAGCCTGATAATATGTTCTTAGTTCCATTTTTCATGGTTCAGTTCCTTTTTGGTCATGTTATCTACACATAAAGATGAAAGGGGAAAGCAATTGAGAATTTCACTTTTAGGTGCCAATAAGACATTGCACTACACTGAAGAAGTTATCCAAAGTACTGTATAGCATCTTGTTTATTATTTAATGTTTTTTAAAGTGAAAAAGTTCATGGTTTTCAAAATGGTCAAATAAAAGCAATCTTTGTAAATAAAAACACTGTTAATAATACTGGTTGTCTCTTTCCTGTTTTTTGGCTTCTGGTTTTTGTGCCTGGGGTCCTAGAGCAATACACTGCTGTTTTACACCTATGCTTGAATTTTCTTTGCTACCTGGAAAAGTGGGAACACAGATATTATTATACTTCCAAGGTTATAAACCTGAAGTCTATTTCATCACACCCACAGATAGGAGAGAATGGGACAATGGACCCTATTCTTGCCTGTTGAGAGAGATGTTGGGAGATGTTGGGCCCCAGCCTCCACTGGGTCTCTGTGAGTTGCTTGTCAGCCAATAATCACAGGTGCATCCTGTTATCTAGTTCTGGGACCTGGGAGAGTGGAACCAATAAATGAGATTGACTAAAGTCTCTAACAATAGCCAACTTTATTCAGAGCATCAGACAATTTATATATTGAGGGTTAGGAAAGAGGGGTCCCATAAGTAAAGTTCTCATGAGTCCAGTGTGTACACGGTCACAAGAACAAGCTGTACATGGCAAAAACATTTTTCCATACAGGCACATAAACATTCAATTGAGTAACAACATCAAGAAATAACGAGTAATTTGAAGTAAACTTACTGTTATCCACTACCCCTGGGAGGAACAAAAAACACATTCCAAGAACAATTCCTTGCTTTGAAGAAACTGAGGTCACAAGTGTATTGTCCTGTTTTCATGTAGTGTTCTCACAAGCGCTCAGAATTCTCACATGACTCCAGTCTTGGGCCACATTCTGACAACACTCCATGCCTTCTTTCTTCCCAGTACTCAGAAAACTCTTAACTGTTGGGAACCCAAATCTTCCATAATTGAAGTATGCTTTCCTACCTCAGGATTCTTTCTAATCCCTTGGAGATCTGGGAAAACCCAGCTGAAGCTCTGCTGAGCCCTGGGGGTTTGGGAAGCAGATACGAAGGAGATCCAGAATGTGATTATTGATTTGTGTAACAGATTTTTGAGCAATATATATGGCTCTGGGGACCAATCCCCAAGGATACTTGTCCTGAGGGGACTTAGGGACCTTCATGGAGCTAGATTTCTGAGCATCACTGCCTGGAAATCACCAGCAGCCATGTTTAAACTCTCAATGCAGCCTGGCAGGATGGGACTCAAGATTCTTCACTTCTGACCAATTTCCAGGTGATAACCTGCACTGTTGATGCATGGGTCACAAAGTGAGTGACAAGGCTTTAGATAGTGAACTGGGCAGGGCCTTTATTATCATTAGTGTTCAGTATTGGAAAGCCTGAAGGTCAGTGGTTGTAAGATCTACATTAATAAAACTTCAACAAGTTATATTAATAGTACCTTTTTTTCTGTAAAAGCATTCTTGAGCATAGGATATTTAAACATGCCTACATGGTACACAACATTGCCTTGACAGATAGGAATTCAGAATACGGAAATCATAATTGAAAACACATTAATGTAGACACATATGAGCCAGGCTGGTGTTGCAGAATTGTGGCTCCAGTATGGGGGACTAGGGTGTGCTGAGGCAGGAGGATCATGAGTTCAAAGCAACTTAGACTTCATAATGAAAACCCCTGTCTCAAAAAATTAAAACAAACTGCACACATGCACACGCATGTGCGCACACTCCCGCTCAGCTCATGAGAGACACAGAAAGAGAAGCGATCCAGGAATTGTACATTCAAGAGAGATGAATGATCTTGGAATAAATAGCATGCAGGAGTGATGGGGAATGTTCTTCTTTGTGTATCTTTCTTTTATTGGTTAATGAATAAAACACTGATTGGCTAATTGGCCAGGCAGGAAGTGACATAGCTGGGCAGAATCAGATATAAGCAGGGACAAACAGGAAATTGTTCTCTTCTCTGCAGAGACACTGAGTAGTCATGTAACAGACAAAGGAGTTGCAGGTCTCGCATTCCCCAGTAAGATAAGACCACATGGGAATACTTAGATTAATAGAAATGGGTTAATAATTAAGATAGGGCTAGCCAATAAGAAACCCTAGACAGTGGCCAATAGTTTCATAATTTTTGTTTGTTTGTTTGTTTTTGGTTTTTTAAGACAGGGTTTTCCTGTGGCTTAGGAGGCTGTCCTGGAACTAGCTCTTGTAGACCAGGCTGGTCTGGAACTCACAGAGATTCACCTGCCTCTGCTTCTGCCTCCCGAGTGCTGAGATTAAAGGCATGGGCCACCAACACCCGGCAATAGTTTCATAATTAATATAGTGTCTGTGTGCTTCTTTGGGGGCTGAGAAGGGTGGTGGGACCCAGCTGGGCCAAGAATCTCATGCTACACAGGAGAGAACCCTTAGCTGTGTTTTAGAATTCTAGGACAGAGAAACCTGAAAGAAACTTAGAATTACAGCTCCAAATTGATTTTTCTGGGGTCAGTTCATTAAAAGATGAAGTACAAAGCCTTAACATGAACAGGGCATTTGAGTTTTAAGCATACAGATTCCTACATTGTAGGCTGCAGTTCACCTTTCCCCATATTTCCAGATCACACCCCTATAGTGTCCTGCAGTTTCCACATGTGTGTTATATTAACCTAAATTAGTGTATGATACAGACCTTCAGTATTCAATGATGCTGGTAAACATTTTTGGCTATCACATCTTTGGGGACTACTGGTGTCTAATGTATAGAAATCTGGTCTGTTATTAATGTCCTATAAAGTACAGGACAAATTCCACACAGTATTAGGTTATCTGGCCTTAAACAGCAATGGTAACAAAGTTGGGAAAACCTGATCTAAATCAGTGACTTACAAAGCACTGTGGTTTGAATTTAGACTGGGTACTAGGGTGTTGTTTTCCTCGGTGCTGTTGGTGTTGGAGAAACTAAGAGACAGGACCAGCAGAAGGTCTTATGTCACATGGGATGTGTCTTCAAGGGGAATGGTGGGAATCCCAGCCCTGCTTGTCTCTCCCCTTCAGCATCCACTCTGCCATGAAGTGAAAAGCTTTACTCACTACTGACTCCCCACCCCTCTACAAGCGCTAAACAAACCCACTGACAGAACCATGGACTGAAATTGAAGCCCAGATATGTTTTCACTTTGTAAGCTGATTATCTCAAATGCTGATTGTCATAAAAAGTGTAGTCTCCTACCAGCATCAGTACCGGAATGTGTTAGAAATGCATTAGAAACTTTTCCACCTCCATATCAGGTCTACAGGAAGCAGAGCTTGAGGTGGGCCCAGCACTGCTAAAACAAGTTCTCTAGGTACTCCTGACACAGGTTAGCCTGATATTAAATTTACTTGCCATCTCTCTCCACCACCCATGGAGGTGACAGCCATGACACTATTACCCCTACTCCTAGCCGCTGGTTCCTACTACAGTGTGACTTAAATGCAGTCTCCATCCACACCTAGCAGGACCATAGGGGCATTTGGTAGTTATGATCTCTCACTTCATAATCCCTGAAGCCTCTTCTCCCATGGCATTGATGAGCCAGACTCCCATAGACTGTAAAGTCAGTATAGCTCCAACTGTATTAGTTACAGTCAACTGTTAGTCATCTTCCCCAAGCCTCTTCTCCTAATTCCTTCCTTCTCTGAATGAAAATTATTTCATTTATTTCAC